CTGTTCTTTTAAAATGTGTTTTTTAAAGTTTTAATTAAATAATTATTATTTTTCCTTCAGCATTTTATGACCAAACTAGTAGAACAGTACGAGGAATGCTTTCTGTGATCAAACGCTTTTAAAAAAAAAAAAATTCTCCTAGATTGTTAATTGTGGGCTTTTTCTATGCCTTATATTTTCCCTATCTTATAATTAAAGTAATAGAATAAGTATGAAATCTCTGTTTCACTGCTTGCTGGTCCAACTCTATTTTTGTATTATTCATCAAAAGTGATTACTATATGCAGTACGTTAGAAGCAAGAAAACTGCATCATTGTATAGGTGTGTTCAGCAAAATAAATCTTTGTCTACCAGAAAAGGAGGTCTAGGGAAAAGCACATATCCTTCCATAGACGGTTATGAATGGATATAGTGATATTCATACTGTATGGTATTAAAAGATTTTAAAATGTGAAAACTAAGGTGGGAATATATAACCAATAGAAGAGAAGAAAAACTTATATTTTTTTCTGAAAAATAAAAAAAAAACATCAATACAATGGAAGAGATGGTCTGTGTTCCCTGATAGTAATGTGATCTTATTTGGTGATTTAAACTCTTTAACATTCAAACAATTGTATAGTTTGTTGATACAGAACCAGATTACTTCCTAGAAAAATAATTGAGCATCTTTGGTTTTATCCTTTAAGTACACCCTAAAACCTATAATAATCTCATAGAGGAGGATTATTAAACTAAACAACAGTAGCATGTTTAATGATGATCTGCTAACAAAACATTCTAGCAAATCTCTGATTAGTGATCACATTTCAAAACCAATCCAAACATAGGATGACTGAATTCATTAAGACCTAGGCCATCTGAAAAACAAAACAAAACAAAACAAAAAACCACCACCAACAACAGAAAACCACAAACCTACAAATTCTGTCTTCATTTCATTTCTTTAGTACTTGGTGGTGGCTAAGTTAAACCAATCTTGAACCAGATCAATTAGTCACTCTGGACAAAACCAGATGAGATCTTCCCAAAGTGCCAAAAGTACTTACACAGTCTTTTGCATAGTGGACTGTAGTCTTGCAGATGTGATATTTTTCACCCTTGCTTATGGTACAAACCCTATTTTTTAATATTTTAATTTTGATTCAATCATCCTTATATTTCAGGCATTTTTATTTTTGCATAACTATCTTCATCAAATACTTAAATTGAAGTGAAACATATATGGAAAAAAGGGTTTAATAAAAAGTCCCTTTACAAAATACAAGTAGAAATTCCTTTGAAGAGAGTTGCATTTTCTTTGCAATAATGATAAATTGACATTTGTATCCATTGGAGAGGCACACAGAATGAGTTTCTTTCAGTAAAACTGGAGCAGAATTGTAGTATATGCCTGGGATCCTTTGGGGTAGTCTCTCACCACAATTTCCATTAAAAAAATAGCTTTTTGCATCTGTATTACATATAATATTACAATTCATATTTTTTAAAAAAAACCTTTAATAATAGTAGGATCATGGGACTAAAGTTGGGAAGTAAGGACTGAAGAATCTGTCTATAGATATTTTTGATCCTTTGCTTTATGACATGGTAGGTCAGATGCACCACAGATCTTTTAAGCTATTTTCCCTTTTGAAAAGGGATCTAAAAACTACTGTATAGTCACAACATGCAACCAGTATGTTAGCCAACAGTGACTGCAGCGTTGGTAGCTACAGCAAACTGCTAAGATATGTTAGCCTTTTATCAACACTGGTGTTTTCGTCATGCTAGAATCTAAGGACATTGATGGAGAGGTGTACCCAGTTACACTGGGACCTGTGGGTGTTGTACCTATGACGTGAGTTAGTGTGGGTTACTAAAACTGTGAATTGAGAACATGTTTTGACCATGGAATTAATTTGAAACATTGAAAAGGGTTAAAAAATTGATAAGACGCTGATTTGTGACCCATATGCTTAATGATAATTTCACTGTTCAGAAGTACTACCATTTTTCCATTCATATAACTGTTAGAAATGCTAATACATGTTGCCATCAACATCACATCAAATTTAACCTGAGGCATCCAACGTTATTTTTTTCTTCTTTTTTTTTTTCTCTTTGTAGTCAATAAAAAAAGTATCAATAGATAGTTATTTAATCTCCTTTTATACTTGCAGACGGTTTGACAAATCTTTGGAAAAGTGGAGGCTTTTTCATAGTGACATGAAGAGCTTTAATCATTGGCTAACTGAAACTGAAGAGAAGCTGTCAAGAGCACAGGTAGAGGCTGGAGACGTGGGTCGTGCGAAAACCAACCAATTTCTCCAGGTATGATTTGATTAACCCATTTCCTGTTTTTCTGCAGTGATTAGAAATTTGCAGGTCTGGGTACTCTGTATAGTTCTGCAGCTCATTTAAGGAGGATATCTAGTGCTGAGTGGCCAGGAGTAATTTTGGTTAGCTATTTCTGATGTCCTTGTTAACTAAGAATTTGCACTAGTTTGTTTCAAAATACGTATTTAAAAGAAGTAAGTTATAGGGTAATAGGGTATACTGTGGTACTTCCATAGTTACACATTTTTTGGCCTTATTTAAAGTGCTCATTAATTTCCATTTAATACTTATGACTAGCAGAAGTATCTTAATTTTAAAATCTTGTGGAAGAAATATGATTAAACATTGAGCTCTACAATAGATATTTCATGAACTATGTCTTTCAAGTATTGCTTATTTTGCCTGTTTCATATTTTAATCAAAGAACCTTGAGGATGCTTTTTTGTGAAATGCAGTGTGACAGAATAGCCACTTAGTTCCTACGTGTCCAGTTCCAATTTATATGCTTTTAATCTTACAAGCTCTTTGAGCATGATAAGGAAAATAATAACTCTAGTTTCTTGGTAGTTTATTTCATTTCCCTCTTGTATGATTGAAATGGTAATGGGTATGAAGAATTAATTCTAAACTGATGTTTTGCAAGTTGATAGGGTCAGCTGAATAACATGGCTTGACTAAACTCTGGATTCATGTTATAAATTACTACCTGTGCATAAGAAAAAAAATCTGTACTAATTGGCATTTGTACATTTGAATTGCTGGACTGAATTACAGGATTTCAGGTTGAAAGAAGTTAGGTCTATCTAACATTAAAGGTACGGTTTTGTTTCGAATGCAACACTAGTCCACTTGTTGGCCTACAGTTAAAAAAAAAAAAAGATCGTGTCTTTTGAATTCTAATATGTAAAGTCACCTTTTTAAGATTTTGGTTGCTATTTCTTGACTGTAAAACTGCTGAACTGGAAAGGAAACCAAATCATGCACTGCAAATATATATATATTAAAAAAAAAAAAAAAAAGATATAACTGTTGAGTAATTCATTAAGCTGAAGTAGTAGAAAATAGCAGATAAATATTTTTCTGCAAATGCCTATCAACATTTTGCACACTGAAGAAGTCTAAGATCTGGCTGACAAAACAGAATGTCACCAAGGAATTAAAGAAGCTCTTTACTGTGTGTGCAAAAGGTAGAGCTCGTGTACTTCCATTGAAATTTTGTCTCCCTTTCTCTGTCCCACAGTTTTAATCATTTATTTGAAAAACTTATAAAATACTAAAGTAAGACATGAGTATATATCCGATGAATAGTAATACAGTGTCACAAAGCCTTACCCTTTCTTCTTTGCTTTGCCTCTGCTCCATCACCCTTCTCAGCACTATTCTGGTATCCTTGAGCAGCCTCAAATGAACACTTAGGGGAAAAAAAAAGATCCACGGAAAAAGTGTTTGTCTCCTTTTTTCTAATCTTTTTCTAAAACAATATTTTCTCTCTGAGACGAGGTTGCTTTTTGAGAGTGCCCAGACCAAGGTAAAATGTATCATAGATGTTATAAATGCGCTGCGTGTGTAGAACATTGTACAAATGCGCTGCGTGGGTAGCCCATTGTACAGTCCCAACAGATTAGAAACCTTATTTTCTTGTCATCAAGAAAGAAGTTCATACTGAATTGAACATCACACTGAAAGACTCTGAGAAAATGCCTTGTTATGCAGAAGCTTAGATTTCAGTATAGAACAAGTCTGCTTCAGTTTTACATTTCCCCTTGACCTGGCCTCCTTCTCATCTGTCATCCATTTGTTATTTTCTTATGCAATATATGAGAACATTGTGAACATATGTTTGCAGAATGGATTTCCACCAAGATATTCTTTTTGCAGTCTATCAAGCTTTTGCTTTCTTCTTTTTTCCCTTGTGCTGGAAATCCCTGGAACTCACAAATTTGTCTCTCAAACATTTCATTTAGTTTAGTACGACAGACAAAACTACCTTTCTAATGAAAATTCACATAGTGTGAAAATATTCCAACTAACCTCAAGAATGCAGACCCCATGTTAGTTAATATTTATTTGTGAAAGAATGTTTAATCTGAAGCTATGTTGTTCCCATTCTCTTCATTGGTTCTTTCTTTATTTTGCTGTGTCTTGTTTGAAAAGCTTTAGGCTTCTGTGAGGCTGACAGAAGAGAACATTAGAATTTCCATTAGGTAAACAGTTAAAACAGCTGAGGATTTTGATTTACTCGATTAGCAACTTGTTTTATTAATGAGATCATGCTGCTTAGTGAACCATATTCAGAATTAACAGGATTTGTTTGAAAATTCTTTCAGAAGCAGGTGAATAGTCTTGTATTCAACAAGGAACTGTTTTAGAAAAAAATATGTGAAATATTCAGATGTGTAATACTATTTCTAGGTAGGACTACTTTGGAAAAGTAAAGATTAATGTGTTCATTAACATTCAGTAAATACATAGAGTCAAATGTTAATGTAAAATGAAACAGTCAACAGTATGATTAGGTGATTATGTTAATATAGGTTAAGAGGTAATTACATTCTTTGAGGTGTGGTTGGGGGGGGGAGGTGTGTTCCTTTTTGCTGCACAATGGCATGATATTAAACAACATTTATGCATTATATATAGCATGAACAAAACCTAATGAGAGAATTGGTTCATTTCAGGTCATGAATACTTAAATACTCTTATTGTGAATTTTTCGCTAAGGCTTTTTGAGAGCGGAACTTCTGGCGTTGAAAAGAAATACCACATTTCAGTTTTTAAGAAATTGTAATTGACTTCTATGATTAGGAGACATGGGATTTAAAAGGATGTTTTACAGATAGCACATCATATAATCCCTTTGAAACATATTGAACTCTGTCTTGAAAGTAAAGATTGGTTTTGCTCTCATTCTGACTGAAAGGTTTTTCTGTCTCTTCACTCCTTAATGCTTGGTGACTTTAACTTCTTCAATTTCCTGCATTTGCACTCAGTTTATTTATTTTTGTGCCAAGACTGGGTTGTAGTTCAGTTTTATCTACTCCCTGATGTTTATCCCCTTCTGTTCTTATAGGCTGCAGTCATTTTCCCTATTGGATCTCATTTGGTAAACTAAAGTTGCAGTTTTCTAATCTGCTTTCATATGATAGCTAGGTGACTTGACTTGTATTTCCTGTGCCTATTCCTCTTTCCGGAACATGAGTTCCCAAAATAGCACACTATTATCCAAACTGAAATACCATCCATACCATCATCAGGATAGCTCAGGTGCTATATTTTATGGTTGGATCTTACCATGGCTGAGTGTTAGAATACCATTTGTAATCATTTCTCTAACATTTGTTATTTCATTTTTTTTTCTTGTGGTCTGCCTTGCAGCCCAAATGTACATTCCATTTCATACGAAAAAAAAAAAAAGTACATGTTGTACAGGGAATTAATACCAGGTTAATATACAGCAAAGAAGCAAACAAGATTGAACAAGGGGCTGGGGGGGAGGGTGCAGAATGGAGGGTGTTCGTGTGCCATAGAGAAATGCTAAAAAGACAGCTACAGGATGAATTGTTCAATAGTTTCAGAACTAGATTGTCAAGTTACATTCCCAAATCGTTACCTGAGAATTTAAATACAGTATTCATATTTAAAAAATATAGAACATCCAGAATATTTGTTCTTTACACTGGTATTAAGAGTTGGTCAGCAGTCTATATTTAGTGTCCACTTTTGGGTTGCAAGTTTAACCTTATTTTATTATTTCAGGTGGTGCATTTTTTTGTTTAATAGTAAAATAATTAGGTTCTGGGTCTGAATTTTAAAACAATTTCTTTGTGTTCATGATGTTCATCTGTTGTGACTGGTCAGTGAAGTGTACTTCCCACTAAACAGACATGGCTGAACTTTTTTTCTATAGTTTCATTGTTTCAAAAAAAATTGCTATTATATAATTATTAATTTCTCAAGTATTTACTTTCATTTACAGGCATAAATATCAAGGATATTGTGTTTATTTTTTAACGTCACAGAGGACCTTAAATAATCAGTAAGATTTTGAAATTATTGGGTGGTGGCCTTATTAATTATACTCGGCCTTCTGAGGGTACTGTGGCTATAAAAAATTGTTTGGAAGTTACAGATCTCTCTTAAATTGTTCATACATTGAATTGTCCAGCATTTACATTTTAGAGTACTTATTCAAGCCTACAAAAGGCTTGTGAATGTCTCATGCCTTCTCTAGACCTTCCTTCCACTGCACTATAATGTCAGGAACATCACATTTTTGTCTTGTAGATGTTTAAAGTAAAAAGATACAGAGAATTAAGGCTTCAGTGCTGAAAGTGATGGTCATGCTAATAATTTCTCTCTTTTATATCTAAATTGGATTATATGGATATTGATGATTTAATAACCACTAAATTTAAACAGTTCTTTCTGGAATACAGCACAAATGGAATCAGAGGATATGAGAGAAAAGAAGTGTTTCAGTGCTTCAGGCCATATAGTCTCATACAATGAAAACACAGTGGTAAGCGGGTGGATAGTTTACTGTTTCCCCCAAATATAAAACTTGTAAAAATACATTTTTTAATATAATAATTGTGGCTTTTATATTTTAGTTTTTGTATTTTTGATGTATTTCCTGCTTTACTGAGTGATAAAGGTTATGCCAATAATCTCTGGTACTTCTTGTTCCACTGTGTATTCCATTTGGATTCAAATGGTTCAATTTTGTTCCATTTCAATCAATTTTGTTCCACCTAGTTCAATTTTGACTAGTGATTTTTGGTGATACGAAATATTTTCAGAGAAATAGTAGAAATGTAGCAAAATATTCTTTCTGGAGATGTCTATGGTTGCTTAATGATTCTACAAGAGATAGAAAATGTAGAATGTGGAATCAATGAGAAAACAATTTAGCATTGTTTCAGAAGAATCTTTAATTAGAATGATCATGGTATATAGCACAGTGTCCTTCATTTTGCAAGGGCATATCTGGAAGG